TGTTTGTCTTCAGTTTGTTTATAACTACTATATTTCATATCCTAAAATAGATGCACTACAAAGATGCTTAGATCATAACTTCCTATTCATTTATGTCAAAAACAGGCTACATAAGACTCTTAATCTATTATCACATCATGAGTTGGATCTGAAAACATAAGATTTGCAGACCAAAAATGCCATTGGCCAGTTTCTTACAGATTTCTTTCCCCAGCCCTACCAATGGTGCTTTTGATCAGTTCTATGCTTCCCAATTAATATGTAGGCCAGAATTTATCTATTACTTCCTACATTTTTTGATACAATTCCTAGCTCAATTTAAAAGAAAGAAATATATTGCTGTCTAGGTGGATACATTGAAGGAAATGGACTAATATAAAAAACAACACAAGAAATTAAACACAGTTTGAAACAGACAAAATTGCTGAAATGTCAACAGTATAACATACTATAAAAAGAAGATGGGTCATAGGTTGAATATGATTGAATATTCTTCCATTGATGAAACAAAAGAATTTATATTATAGTAAAGGTTGTTTAATACACATTTATAATATTTGCTGAGTGCTTCATTTCTCCAAACCTGTCACTTCTATACTGAAATGATATATAGGAATGATTTTCGGAGACAAGGAAGAATCACAACCTATCATAGAAACAAACATAGAAATGGTATCTCAGCCCACAAAAGTAAAAAGGGACATGAGAAATACCTCAGAAGAGATCTTCTCTAGTTTTCTGGAAACTAAAAGTAAAGAACGAGAGTACCAAAGACTTTCTTAATGTTTTTCCTTGAAAACATTTCACTTCTTATATAGTTCTGAAGAAAGTCCAGTTGCCTTTTGGAAAAGCATCTCTGGGACAATCATGACATGGATGATTGAGAATCTCCATAGACATGAAGGAGGGGAGGTTCTATTACTGTAACCTTACAAGATAGCGTTAGTACTCATGATTTATGCTTTTTGTCTGAACTACCTCAAAGGGTTGGCATGTATGTCACCTCCTGAGAGAAATGCCATTTTTTCTAAGAAAGAGGAACTCTGTAGGCCACAGAAAATACAATACACACCAGACTATCAGCACCTGGAACCTCTACATTAGGGCTGTCAAACTCGCGGCATCACATGACGTGTCAGGACTTTTTCCTCCTTCACTAAACCAGACAGGGGCGTGGCCAGTGTATGACACATCTGGCCCATAGGCTGCAAGTTTGGCAGCCCTGCTCTACATCCTTCTGCAATCCCTTTCACTGAGCCCGCCATTAAGGGAGATTAGAGGGCAGAATATGGTGGATAAAAACATGCAGCATCTTTGATAGACCATTCCATAAATTAATCTCCAGAGTCTGTGCTTCGGATCCTTCCTAAGAATTCTGCATGACAGGAAGTGATCAGCACTTTGTCTTGAAGAGAGAATCAAACTCTGTGTGTATTTTCCTTCTGTAAATGTTACTTTTACATATTCATCTCAACCCAACCTTTCTTCATCCAGAGACTACTAAAGGACTGTTCATCATTGAATTAAAGCCTGATTCTATGGAGGTTCTGTGGCCTTTAGTTTTAGGTGGCTTACACACCCAGTTTCTGAGGCTGTAAAGAATAGACTATAAACTGCAAAGCAGAATATATCAGATTAGCAAAAGGATACATGAGTGGTGTTTTTCAGTTACCACCTTGGACGTTTTCCCAGGCCAGGGAAAAATCTTATTTATCACTGCTGCTCTTGGATGCCCAACCTCCCTTCTGAGCATTTCCTTGCCTATAGTACTGTTGTTTAACCATCTGCCATGGTGGAGCTGAAGTATAATAAGGAGGAACTCTGGTAGAGAACAAGACATCTGGACTAAATAGCATGACATAAAATTCCAATGCCTAGTTACAGAGAGAGAGAAATGCTCCTATCGCTTTTCCTGTTTATATGCAGAAGACATGTTTTGCCTTTTTAACTGTTAGAGGCAATTTGGTACAGACAATCAGTTCCCATTAACTAGCAAAAACACAGCCACAGGTGAAGTGGGGAGAGAATAAAGGGAGAGAGAAAACAGGGAAAGGAGTAGCAGCAGCAGCAGCTTCAGCAGGCAAGCAAGCAGGCAGGCTGGCCCTGTAAATGTTTATACCAAATCAGAGGCAGCTGTTGCCTGTCATTTTCAGAGGTAAAATAACATTAAAGATGCCTTTAAGTCCCAGACACGGCGTCACCATCTTTACAATACGGGATTATAATTTCAAAATATCAAATATAATGCTTTATTGTTATTATCTAATTAAGATGAAGTGATCTTCTAAATTCATTGTTTGCTTGTTTGTTTTGAACAGGAGTTTGCACAGTGGGGAAAAAAATCAGCTTCCTTTTTTTTAAATTAAGATTTGAAGGGTCAAGAAGGACGAGCAGACAGCTAGCTGTACAGTTTATAGTGCCTTTAGCCCTTGTTCCTATGTGCCAGGTAAATCTCTGCAAACTTTTGGGAGGTCATAACGTGCAGTGACCCTGGCTTAGATGGCAATGATGTCCCCAATGTGCTCGAGGCTGTGGCATCAATCATCAGTTTGTTATCTATCATAAACATTTGGAAGATATGCTATGATGAATTATTTGCACAGTGTTTTTACAATTCTCTTTTCTCCTGTTTATATTTTTTCCACAAGGAAGATTTTATGTGCATTTATGTACCCTGTATGAAAATAATGCACATTGAGCTTGCAATGGTGATGAAGATGGGGTGGTGAATGATTTTCTCACTATGTTTTGGGGTACTCTTAAGCCAAAACATTGCCAAGAAATACAAAGAAGACAGGTACTTAGCATTACATAGTGCCTGTCAACTCTAGAAATGACTGTAGCTGAAGCCATATTTGACTTGCTTTGTTTCTTAGTTGTCATACTTATGGGGGAGGGGGATTTATGGAATGTAGACAAGGTAGTATTCAGCAGGTTCTGAACAGTTCTGGAGAACCGGTAGCAGAAATTTTGAGTGCTTCAACCACAACAATACAAGAGCACACAACAGATACAAACTCAACGTAAACTGCTTCAAACTTGATTGCAGAAAGTACGACTTCAGCAACAGAGTGGTCAATGCGTGGAATGCACTACCTGACTCTGTTTTTACATCCTCTAATCCCCACTCCTTTAACCTCAAATTATCCACTATTGACCTCACCCCATTCCTAGGAGGCCTGTAAGGGGCATGCATAAGTGCACCATCGTGCCTCCTGTCCCTGTCCTATTGTCCCCATTTATTCGTACCTATTTCCTGTATTCCTGTTTATACTTATACCTATTGTCTTGTAAGCGATTGACAAATAAAATAAAATAAAATAAAATAAAATAAAATAAAATAAAAAAATAAAATAAAATAAAATAAAATAAAATAAAATAAAATAAAATAAAATAAAATATAACAATGATAAGACTCCTGAGAAGGGAGGTGAAGTTGGTGTGCCCTAGCAACAGCAGGAGGGAGTTCTGAGAAGTTCATCACCTGCTTGGTTGGCTAACATGACTTGTGACACAAGGTGGGGTGGACAGTACCTATTCTTAAATTATACCAAAAATGCAAGAATTGTTCAGTGTTGGTTTTACTTGTGACCATGCCAATATGATGTACCAAATAAACAGAATTTTTGAGAAAGCCAACGCCTCAGAGTCTTGAATTGGCTGGGAGCATTACTCAGAACCATGGCAATTCCCATATGAGCAACTTGGCTTTTCATCAGTGAGTCTAATTCAGATTGAGGATAACATACTACAATCTCTTTTACTTCTTTTTTTAGAGAATATAGTAGAAGATAGGCATGATTGAATTATTGCAATACAGCTTTTCACAAGCATCCACAACTTCTGGAGGCAATTCCTTCCACTGATTAAATTGTTTCAAATGTCAGGAAAGTTCTCCTTAGTTCTAGGTTGCTTCTCTCCTTGATTAGTTTCCACCCATTGCTTCTTGTCCTGGCTTCAGGTGGCTTTGGAGAATAGCTTGACTCCCTCTTCACTGTGGCAACCCTGAGATACTGTGACACTGCTACCATGTCACCTTTAGTCTTTCTTTTCATTACATTAGGCATACCCAATTCCAGCAACCATTCTTTATATGTTTTAGCCTCCAGTCCCCTAATCATCTTTGTTGCTCTTCTCTGCACTCTCTCTAGAGTCTCAACATCTTTTTTACATCATGGTGACCACAACTAAAAGCAATATTCTGAGTGTGGTCTTACCAAGGCACTATAAACACTTCACATGGTTTTGATTCTTGCCCTCTGTTAATGCAGCCTAGAACTGTGTTGTCCTTTTGGGCAGGTGCAGCACACTGCTGCCTTATATTTAAATGATTGTCCTCTAGGACATGGGTTGACAAACTTTTGGACCTCAGGGCCACCAAACTTTTAAATCTTGCGGACCACTAATATGAGTTTTGACTGGTGGTAGCTTGCTGACATTGGTGGGGAAGTCTGTCCCATATTCCAGAGCTGCAGTAGTCACAGGACTGGTCTTTTGGTCATCCCAGAGCAGCTGCTACTCCACCCGGGTTCACCGGCCTGCTATGGACTGGGGGAGTTGCTCCAGGAAGACCAAAGGGCCAGTCCTGTGACAACTGCAGCTCTGGAATATGGGACTGACTTTCCCACCAACGTCAGCAACATCACCTCCCCCACCAGTTCCAGTTTGTGTGGCTCTATTCAAGGTAAGGTTTGCTCTCAGCCGAAAGGTGGGGGCCAGCGGGTGGGCAGGCCATGTGTTCCTGGCAGCCTGGATTAATTGCTTTGGGGGGAGTGCTTTGGGGGGGGACATTTCTCTGCGGACCACCAGAATTTTCTCACATACCACTAGTGGTCCCTGGCCCACTGGTTGGCAACCACTGCTCTAGGACTCCAAGATCCCTCTCACAGTTATTACTATTGAGTCAGGTACCATCTATATTGTACCTGTGCATTTGGTTTTTCTTGCCTAAATGTAAAATCTTACTTTTTTTCACCATTTAGTTTCTTTTTGTTAGATAGATGTTCAAGTCTGTCAAGATCCTTCTGTATCTTAAGCCTATCATCTGAAGTGCTGGCTATTCCTGCCACTTTGGTGTCATCTGCAAATTTGATGAATTGCCCATCTATCCCTTCATTCAAGTCATTGATGAAGATGATCACTGGCCTAAAATAGAGCCTTGGGGTACCCCCTGCATATTTCCCTCCATGTAGATGCAGTTCCATTGAGAACTATATGCTGAGTGTGGTTGGTCAACCAGTTACAAATCCATCTGGTGGTGATGCTGTCTAACCCTCGTTTTTCTATCTTACCAAGCAGTAGGTTGTGGTCTACTTTATCAAATGCCTTATTGAAGTCCAAGTAAATTATATCCAAAGCATTCCTCTGGTCCAGTGGTGGAATTCATTTTTTTTTACTACTGATTCTGTGGGCATGGCCTGGTGGGTATGGCAGGGGAAGGATACTGTAAAATATCCAGTCAGAGATGGCATTTGCTGGTTCTCTGAACTACTCAGAATTTCTGCTACCAGTTCTTCAGAACTGATCAGAATGTCACCTCTGTTCTGGTCCCTATTTTTGTCACGTTATCAAAGAATACAGTAAGATTTATTGGCTTTTGTTTATGGTTTTGTTTGCCTCTAGGTGTTCACTGATTTGTTGCTTGATTATCTTTTCCAGAATCTTCCAGGATGATAGGTCCATAGTTTCCTGGATCTATTTTTTCCCTTTTTTGAAAATGAGAACTACATCAGCTCTTTTCCAACCCTCTGGTAGTTTCCTGGTGCTCCAGGATCTTTGAAAGTTCAGTAGTTCTGGAATCATATCTGCCAGTTCCTTCAGAATCTTGGGGTGTAATCCATCTGGTCCTGGTGATATGAACTTGTCTAGAGTCGACAGGTGCTCACTTGCCATATTCTTGCCTATTTTAACTTGTATTCCTATTCTTTTTTTACAGTACTTTTTTTAATAGGTTGGACTGTTTTTTCCTTTTGTGTAAAGAGGGATGCAAAAATGAGTTATGCTGTTCTGCTTTCTCCCTGTTGCTTGCCACCTTCTTGCCACTTTCTCCCATTAATGCACCGTTTTCTTGTTTTTTACATGTTGAAAGAAGCTTTTTTGTTATTTTTGTCTTTTGTCACAAGCCTTAGTTCATTTTGAGCCTTAGCTTTCCTCACTTCATCTTTGAAGGTTTGGGATATTTGCTGATATTCTGCTTTAGTTTCTGTCCCTCTTTCCACTTTTTATACCTGTGCTTTTTGTCTTTCAACTTATCAGATAGTTCTTTATGCAGTCATGCTGATTTCTTTTGAGAGCTGTTATTTTTCTTTTTCATTGGTATTATTCTAGACTGGGCTTTTATAATCTCACTTTTCAAAGTTTCCCATCCTTCTTGGGTTGTTTTCCTCTTGAGGATTCTCATCCATGGAATCCTTCCCAAACTCTCTCTACGTTTATTGATATTAGCTCTGTTAAAGTCCAAGTCTCTAGTTTGACTTTATTCTGTTGCTTGTGATTGCATAATGTTGAATTCCAGTATTATATGATCACTCCCCTCCAAGATTCCTGTTGCTTCAATATTCTGTATATACCTGTATGTTGTGACTCAGAGGTTTGAACCTGCTCTGTCAGAAGACATAGGCTCGAGTGATGAGGAAGATCTGGCATTAAGGTTTGAGCCTGCTTTGTTGAGTGACACAGACAGGAGTCAGGAGGAAGAGGAGGACTTGGCTCTAAGATTTGAGCCTGCTTTGCTGGAAGTTTCGGAGTCGTCTTCCTCCCCAGAACCTTCCTCCCTGATTGTGCCTCAGGTGTCGGCAGATAATCAAGAGAGCATTCTGGAGTCATTGGCTGAAGATCAAGCTGAGAAATGCTGGTCTGATGCAAGGCAAAGACGCAGGTAGAAACGTGACATACAACGTAAAAAGCAAAGAGACTGACACGCCCCTCAGGGAATATAAGGGGGCGTGTTAGCTCTGAATCCCTGTTTGGGTCAACTTGTCTATTTGAGTTAGCAGTTCGGATGAATTATTCTGTGTGGCGGTCACCTCTGATTTATGGTTTTGCTCGTTATCAGATTTGGTAGACAGCTTCTGGGAAAACTGCCAAAGAAGGATTCAGCCAAAGGAAGTTAACTCTGTCGTTCCTGTTTCTGTCTGTTTGAGTATTTTCCTTTGGAAATTTGGACTCTCACCTTGTGGCTACAGGTGAGACAGAACACCTATATATATAGCTTTATATTCCATTTGTGGATTTCATCCCACCAGGTTTTTGTAATGGCAACAATATCATATCTGCCCTCATTTACTTGAATTTCTAATTCACCCTGTTTATTCCTCATACTCTGTATATTGATATATAGATATTTGAGTCCTTTCTGGCTGATGCTAGGTTTACTTTCTACATGACCTGTTTTGTGCCTGAGTTCCCTTACTTCCTTACCACCTGCTAGATTAGTACACATGGTATGCCACACACTATCAAAAGCTCACTGCGAACTGTACATAAAATTCATAGCCAGACTCAGAAAAAAAAATCAGAAAAAAAAACTTGTCAGATCTATCTAGCTTCTGGGCATTTCTGGTTTTGTAAACTGCATCATGGAGGTTTTGTTTTGTATAATTTCAGGCTGGCTCCAGAGTAGCAATACTAGGCAAGTGTTAGGGCAAAAATATGTGCACATATTAAAGGATCAGAATAGAGAGAAAGATCTTGTATGAAGTATGTGGCTACCTAAAAAGAAGTACATGCCCATGTACCTAACCGTAGGGTCAATATTGAGAGCAGGAGAAGAATCCATCTAAATAAATGTAAATATGAGACAACTTACGCAGATCAGGAATTAACCCAAAACTTGAATCTGAGCCTATGAAACTTATAAAGAGGAATCTAACAATAAAGACTGTCTATCAACACATGCTAGGATTGAATTATTAAAATACAAAGGTGGTTCTTTTTACTAAATAATTCTCCAAGCGTTTTTTTTTACTAAAAAAACTGGAGTCTTTCAATAGAAAGCAGATGAAAAGGAAGATATATAATGGGAAGAATTTTTAAGTAATAATGGGTAAAATGGACCAGACATTATATCATCTTAGCTAAAAAATGTGCTAGCTGCAGACCAATCCCATCTCTTCCCATTCCCCATGATTTTGACCCTTGTTCAAGATACTAGAAGTAGAGTTAGCAAATAATGTCATTCAGATCACCAGAGGCACTGATTTGATGAGTGTCTCAGTTATCAGTTAATGGATCCAATATTCTCCTTTGTCCTCTTCCCATCACAGAAATTTTTATGAGCCATGAAAGCTAATCTCTCTTTTTCATTTTTAGCAAATGGACATTCAGATAGACTGTGATGGAAGCTTTCCAGATATCCAGTTTTAGAATGAAATGGAATGATGGGATGGAAATGCCCCAGGCATTTTACTATTCTTCTCTACCTGGGAGTTCACTTTTGGCTAAAAACCATGCAGGTCCCTAGGTTGCATGAATAATTGCATATTGTTGGTGGGACAGCTGCCTAAACTGGCTTTGTGTCATGTGGGGTGATTTTACTGAATGTTTTTATAGTGTGCAGTTATATTTTGTCAAAGTTTTTGTGTCTGTGTCTGTGTGGGTGTGGATACTAGTGTTTGAACACATGCATGGTTCTATCTATTGTTTTTCCTTTGTGAAAGTGCATGATTATCTATATCTGCCTTCTTTAAAATGTGTATTTTTATTCTGTTTTAAAGAACAAATAAATTGGGCTTAGTTTGCTCCCCACTCCTCCAAATCTTGCCTTTGGTTTCCAAGATGAGTTGCTTTTTATTGATTGACACTAGCTTCCCTTCTGGGAAATTAGTTTTGGAACAGAAAAGTTTTGTAAAAAAAAGACAACTTAATGCTATAGATATTAGATCCCATTTCTGCCTTCCCCTTAGATAAATTACTTCCTAATTATCATCACAAATTTGTCTTCTGGAAAATGGTTGTTTTGAAATTGTCACATTCACCATTGTGGCCATTTTGCAAATGGGAAACTCCTGCCCTAGCAACATTCATAAATCTATCTTAACATTTCCAAAATCAATGTTTACTCTGATGAATCCTTCCTGAGACCTAGACACCAAATGTTCAACAGTGGTGCACTATGGGACTTAGCTGGGTAACTCTGAGAAAGCCATTAAATCCACTTCCCAGCTTCACTTCTGAAGCACCTAGCTGAAAAGGCATTTTGAGCTCTGGAAACACCCTGTAATCTCACTCTGCCATGTCGTTTTTCAAAATGTGGTCAGCTGCTAAAAGAAGAGAGATACCAAATGGTCCTCAGCTTGAATCATGGGAAGTCAATATTAAGGAATATCCATTTATTTTTTCAACTTAACCTTTTCTCACTCATTGCCCAACAGAAAGACCTCATGATTCATTGACCAGATCAGCCTTTTTTTTCCTACCTACCTCCTTCACTGTCAACCTTCTAATAGGTTTATCTCCATATGGCTCCTATGCACAGACCATGGCACCATCTCAGGTGGCAGTAGCCATGGAAGGTCAGTAAGAATGGGGTTCCCAGAAGGAGACACTGCTTAGCATGAGAGGCCTCGGTGTGCTGAGTGTTTCTCCTGAGCAGGGTGTTCTGATGCTGGTGGAAGATCCACTAGAGTGGCTCCTCCTCCTGCTGGATGGCTTCCATTGTCCAACTTGCATGTCCATGTACTTGCTCACTGAGCAGTAGCCTCATCTCTCAAGAAGTATTGTGATGATGTTGTAGAATTTTCATTTGCTAGAGGTATATAAAGATAATGGTTTCAACAGCCTATCTGTCAACATTCCAACTGACAAACCCAACCAAAGCAAGCATGGCTGAGATGATCCAATCTCTTAATGCAAAACTTTATTGAGTACATCATATCAGCAAAGATGAGGGGAAAACTAGATTTAACCCTTCCCCCGCACATACCCACATAGTTAAAGTTCAGATTCTCCCTCTCCCCTATAAGACCAGGTCACATTGTCCAATTGAGTCTCCTGGCATTGTGAGAAAGTCCTTTGGCTCTGGTAAACACCTGCCAAAATGTTCTTGGTTCCCATGGCTGGCATCTTGATGTCTGGAATTTAAGTTCTATCTCCCCCTTCACTCTCCCCATTCGCTATTGGCAAACTGAGAAGCTATAATAGTTGCAACAGCAAAAGTGCCTTTTGAAGTTTGACACTGTCTTTAACTAAAAAAATGGAAGATCTCTGTCTAAATTGTAGAGACATGATTCAGTTAGATTGAGAGGAAATTGAATCTTAAGGAGAACTTGATTCTTGGTATTTTATTGGCTTATAACAAATTTTGCTTATTGTATAACTGTTGAATAAGGAAAATTTTGTAATCCTATAAAAGCAATGTTAATTATTTTTCTGGGTCTTCTTCATAAATCTTTGCCTAGAAAGGAAACTTCTTGTACAAGAATCTTGTTGAACAAAATTTCCTTTCTTTATTCCATAAGTCTAAGAGTCAATCTGGTGTAGTGGTTAAGGTACTAGCCTGGGAACTAGAAGACTATGAGTTCTGGTCCCACCTTAAATTCAAAGCCAGCTGGGGGATATTGGACCATGTTCGCTCTCAGTCTTACAAGTGGGAAATAGCAAATTATTTCTGAAATGTTGCCAAGAAAACTTGTAATCAAAACTGACTCAAAGGCACAGGAAAAAAACAAAATCCCTAAGTCTGGTTAATTAGCAAATAGAGCTAGGAACAAATTCCTTCTGCAAGTGGAGATTTCCACAATAATAAACACTTTAAATTACCTGGATAGTTGCAGGTGATCCACAAGCTACAAATTTGAGACCCCTACACAACATTGTTAGAATATTTATTCCTTACCAAGTATGTTTCTGAGGTGGGTGATAAAAACACCAGGCAATTGCATGAAATTAAGTTCTTTATTCTTCATCTAAGAGCAGATGACAGCAAACTGCTAAGTGATTATATAGATGTACTACTATAGATGTCATATATAATCAGCCCCTGCTAAGGATAACCCCGCGCTTTACCCAGTCACATTATTCCATATAAAGAATTTTCTTCCTTGCCAGGAAGAAAATTCTCCAAATTTCCTGAGAATACTTATCTAAGGAAAAACTATTATTGGGATGTATACCTTTCCTTACTTTCCTGGGTGAACTACTTTCAGGTCTGTGTACAATGAAATATAAGAAGGCCTAGGAATCTTAAAGAAAATGAAAGGAGACATGGCGTTTGAGCTTTAATAAAAGTACAAACGCTCAGATAAAATATTCTAATACTGTATCCTATACAATAGTCCAACAACATCCTACCTTGTCCTCCCCAACTAACCACACACTCATAACTTGATATGTTGGCTGGTGTTTGTCATCACAAAGAAAAATATGAGATATTAGCATATTTCTCTCTTCCTTGTGTCTCCACAGTCTATAGCACACCTGAAAGATGATGGCGATAGTGAGAAATGTAGAATATCTTCCATGTGGTGGCACCTCAGTCAGGTTCCAGAGCTATTCTGGATAGGTGTCAGTCCAAGAAGTGATCAGGAACTGAACCCCAGTGTCTTAATCGAAAAATCTATTTTTAACCTTTCCTTCAGGTTCCCTTATTCATTTTCACTGTCTAACATATAAATATTTTAGTTTTTAATTGTTGTTATATTTCATCAAATGGAGTCAAAGCTCTAAGCAATATGTTTATTGCATAATTACATATTTATATTGTATATTAAACATAAGCTTTTGTTGATTGAATTTTTAAAGCACAAGCATATTCATTTAGATCTAGGTACTTGAATATATACTGCTTCCCAAGCTTTCTGTTTTCCTGGAAATTTTTCTACTACAAATTAAACTGGTGAGAAATTACTTTATAAAAGAATTATCCAGCCACAAAACACAATGGCATTTAAGAAGTTTTATGAAATAAAAACATTTTATAACTAAAATATGATTGAAAGCACTTAATGAAAAGATGCAGGCAAATTGTTTTAGAAGTCTCTGAGGAGATACATTGCCTGCCATTAGAAAACCCATTAAATGGCACTAAATTAATGTTGTAAATGATTCTGCATCATAAACCATGATAATGACCAGAAGTATACCTATGTATAGGTGCATGCCTATTTATATATACTCATAGTCAAAGATAAGTCTGGTGAAAAATTGTGGCTCAAAGTGGATATTATGAGCCTGCTTGTATTAGACCAGACATATAGAATTGTCTTCCACCCTCTTTTTAAAAAAAGTAATCTATTGTGGAAAAACTCACCTAAAGAAACTCATCAACAAATAGAGAGGATCCTACAATCATTTTATTACTTCTAAAACTATTAGATTGCAGTCATCACTGGGCTTTTGCATCAAACAGGAGCAGATGGCACAAGTTTACATAAATCTCATATAGAAAGTTGATCAAAGGCAGTCTGAGCAAGTGAGCATGGACATGAGTAGCACAGATTCCAAAATGTAGGCAGAATTGCTTTGCATGAGAATTCAAAATAATGAGAAAAATGTGGAGGGGGGAGAGAATCATTCAAAGTGTGAAGATAGTAAAGGGCATTCTTTGAAATATAACACAGCTTTGATATATGAGTCTCTAATTGTTATTCTAAGTTATTCTATTATTCTAAGAAGCTGACTCTGATCTTTTCTACAAGAGGAAAGAGATAAGGGAACAACACTGAATATCCTGGAATCTGTTGAAAACATTAATTTTTATAGGCATTTAAAGTATTGATAACCCATTGGCATATCCAGTAAATTTCACACTTAAATGTGCCTCTATAAAAAATACAACCGGTACATGGTAACCATTGATTCAATTGAGGGACAGTCCTACTTCTGTGAAATAGCCAGTCAAAATGCAAGGGTTTCTTAGAGGAAAGTAACATGACACAGGAAAAATGCACTGAAGTGACCAAAAAAGGGTGAGGGTGGGAGCTGAGTAGGAATATATACATTGATTTGGTTTATTTAGCCATCAGTCCCACATATATAACACTAGGCAGCTTATAATAATGCTTAAAATGCATAACATAAAAAATAAAAATAAAATACATGCAATCAGACATCATCTAACCAGCTATCTACATACCCAGGAGCTAGGATAGATGATGTGCTAATGGGTGGGCGCCACAGCAGGAAAGATTGTCCTTTTGAGCCATGCCACAATGCCCTCCTGCCAGATAGGATATGTCATGCCCCTGGTGGAGACTGACTCTGAGAAAGAGGAGGAACAGCCAACAGGGAGTGGGAGTGTGGCTCCAGAGGTGGTGGAGGAGGCTGGGGAAGGGCAGAGGCCAGCTGAGCCATCAGAGGAGGATCCAGGCCCATCCCCTATCCATCCTAGCTCATGCAGGGAGGAGAGGATCAGGGAAAAGCAAGGTCAACTCAGGAGGAGATTACCATGATCCTCCTCGTGGCTTGCAGCTGGGTGCTATTTATATAAGTTTGTAACTGCGTGGTCAGAATTTCTGGAGTCAAAGTTTAGTGTTTGCTTTGAAAGAGGTTTATCTTTGCTGGCGTTCTTCCCATGGACTCTCCTCGGTTATCTTCCTGGAGTGTATGATTAATTATCTTGGCTTGCTTCAGAACTCTTGTCAATGCAATTTGTTTCGGTTTTCTTTTTGCCTCATTATTTAGTTTTGTGACTTTAAACTGTGCCTAATAAAACAGCGAAGTTAAGTTGAAGGCATAACCGGACTTTAATGTATGTTTTGGGGTTTGGGTTATTTTGAGAGACTGCAGGTCATCACAGGATAGGATAGGTAGAGACAAGTGGGGAGAAACTGTTGTTAAGCTGTACTGAAAACAGGACAACCTCACAGTGCAGCTAAACCCTTAGACCCTTTGCTTTCCATTCTCTCATGGTTGCTTACGAGATTACACCAAACCAATTACTTCAAATTCTTATCTAATTGAAGTATAAATTACGTTGTTGCTGTTTAATCCTACTATGAAACTCAGAGAGGCTTTGTTTAATATCACCCTCTCCAATCTCCCAATGTGGTAGGTTAAAGAACATGCTTTTTGTTTACTTGTTATTATCAACAACCTGCTATTGTGTGGAAGTTTAAATTTGTGGGATTTTTTTTTTATGGAAATTACTTCAGTTCATTTTGTATGTGTGTGTAATTATTTGACACAAAGATCTGATGTTTGATCTTTGTTGATATTTTTTGCTAGTAATTTTATTTAGAGACAGTATCAAATTAATTTAAATGAATGAAAAAAGCACCCTGGTTGTAGATTAAGTCTAGATGTCCTTTTTTTGTTCAGGCTTGTAATTTGGAATGACAGAGATCTTATTTTAGAGCTTCTTTGTTTTAGTCTAGGGGAGACAAACATATTGTAATTAACTACACATAGTTTAAGTCCAAAGAGACTGTACCAACTCTGCCTTTCTGGATGGGAGAGCAAAATAACATCAGAAGACATTAGGAAATAATAATCAGATTCTGAAGAGAAGGAATAGTCTTTGGGACAGGCTGACCTGAAGAGCCATCAACCTCCTGAATGGAACATGGAAACAAATTCACAGGGTAATTCACAGAGGTGGGGTGGGAAATATGCATATTTTGTGAAAGAT